CGATCTTGTGCGAGCTCGGCCAGCGGCGCGCAAACACGACTCCCCCCGAGACGGCTGGCGCAGCAGCGCCGCCGCCCCGCCCGCCTCTCGGCCCCCCGTCTTGCGGGGCGACGTGGTCCGGCAGCGCCAGGGCCGCGGCGACCTTGGCGCCGCTCTGCGTGCTCGCGTGGAAGAGGAAGTGCCTAATTAATTAACGTTACTTAGTTAATTAATTAATTGAGCTCTGCGTGCTCGCTGTGGAAGAGGAAGTGCCCGTCGGCGGCGCTGACCGCACAGCGAACCGGCTCGTCTCTGATGAGCTGCTTGCTGTCCAGCCGGCCGAACGTGACGCCTGCCGGTGGAAGAGACAGCTGCTGCTCGAGCGCGTCGCGCAGCGGCGTCACGTCGACGGCCGCGACGCCGCCGCTCTCGAGGTCGAGAACCTACAGCCCGAGATGGCCCGAGATCACCCGAGATGGCCCGAGATGGCCCGAGCTCCGCGCTCTCGCAAGTCGAGGACGTCGGCCGTGATCGCCTCGTCCTCCCACCAGCTCCGGTGCGCCTGCTCACGGCCTGAAGTGTGAGGGAGGCGCCCCGCAGCCGCCCGACCTGCCCGACACGCAGAGCCCGCAGCAGGAAGACGCAGCGGCCGCAGTGCAGCACATTCTGCCAGCTCCCGACGGCGACCCGCTTTGTGGAGGCAGCAGCGGCGCCGTGCCGGCTCGTTGTCGGGAGGAAGGCCATCCCCTCCTCCTCCGCCTCGCGCCGGTACCCGACCATCCCCCCCACCCCGGCGTTGAACGGGCCGTCTTCCCCCAACTCGCACCTCACGTCCGGCTCTCGTGTAATCTCGTGTAATCTCGTGTAATCTCGGGTAATCTCGGGTGATCTCGGGTGATCTCGGGTGATCTCGGGTGATCTCGCACCTGCAAGCCTCGACCGGCTCGGGCGGGCCTTCGCCGTCGACAGGGCGCCGCTCGGCGAAGCGCAGCGTGCGCACTGCGTCCGCTGCCGGATCGACCAGCTGCACGACGAGGTCTCCGTCGCGAAGAAAGGCGATGCAGGCGCCGGCGCGAGCGACGTGGCTCTCGGCCCGAGCAGGTGCGGCCGGGATGGGGAGTCGCAGCGGGAAACAGCGCGGGTCGGCGCGCCAACGGAGCTGGGAATCAAAGGCGACCAACGCAGCGGCGCGCCAGCGTCGGTTCACGCGTGCGACGCACGGAAGGCTGTGCAGCGTCAGATGGCCGATGCAGGCAGCGATGAGCTCGTCTGCGAGAAGCTCGGATGGCGCGGGAGTGTCGTCGTCCATCGCGTCGCTTGCGGAGGAGTGGGAGGGCCGTGATGACGCCCGGGCCCACTACCGAGGAAGTGAGCTTGGCGTGTGCTCTCTGGCTGGCTGTCGTCGAGCGGGGTGGGGCTCGCTAGCCGCTCGGCGTGAAAGTGACCGAGCGGGCCCGCGTTTTCTGGGTTGGGATTCTTTCCCGTGCCCAGTGTTGTGCGAGGGAGTGCGTTTGTAAAATTCTTTTCCTCGATTTATCCACCGCGCCCGCAGCGCGCCTTCCTCGGACGCCATGGCCTTGCCCTCCTCCTCCGCCGGGCGACTCGGCCCGATCCTCCGCCTCCGCGGCGGCGGCGGCGACGGCGGCGTCTACCCGCTCACGCACACAGAGATGCAGTGGATGCAGTCGGCAAACATGGGCGTGGGGACGGGCATCGGCGCGGTGGCGCGCGACCACCGCCACTGGGCCGACCGCGCGAGCGAGGACGCGCTGCGCCTCGACCGCGCCACGCTCTGCGCCGCCTCGTCCAAGCCGCTCGCGCCGCCCGTCGTCGTGACGGAGCTCGGGCTGCTGTGCAACAAGGAGGAGCTGCTCGAGCGGCTGCTCTCCAAGTCGATGCCGCAGCACCTGGCGCACGTCCAGTCGCTGCGCGACTTTGCCGAGGCGCAGCCGCCGCCCCAGCTACCCTCGCGCACCCCCTACCGACTCCCTTCCTCCCCGCCACTCTCCCCGCCCTAGCGTGACTGCGCCCGCGCTCTCGCCCCGCCGGCCCTCTGGCCCCTCCGGTGCCCTCGCCCACCGACCCACCGACCCCCCGACCCCGCCCCCCGCCCCCCGCCCCTCGCCCCCCTCACGCCTCTCCTCCGCCCACCCCTCCCCCTCCCAGGCCACCCTGCACCCGAACCCGCACTACGCCGCCGACAAAGCCGCTAAGGGCGGAGAGGCGGCCGAGGACCGCTTGGGTGCCGCCCCAATGGTGAGTGAACGAGACTCAACACTGGTAATGAGTTAGGCGGCGGAGGACCGCGAGGTGCCCTTCGTCTGCCCCATCGCCGGAACGCCGATGAACGGCCGCTCGCCCTTCGTCTTCTTGCGCCCCTCCGGCCGCGTCGTCTCCGAGAGAGCGCTCAAGGGGGTCGGCGCGACCGCGTGTCCCGTGACGGACGTCCCTCTGGGCGAGATCCAGCCGAGATCCCGCCGAGATCCCGCCGAGATCCCGCCGAGATCCCGCCGAGGGACTCCATCTCGCCTAGCTCTCCCATACTCCTCCCCTGCACCCCCCCTGCA